ATATAGCTCGAAGTACCGATAACCGATGGGGAAAAAGATTCTCGAGTGGCAGCCTCGTACCGGTAAGCGTTGTGTAGGGCGACCCCCCACTAGATGGAGTGACGACCTGGTAAGACATGCAGGAAGTCGATAGATGCAGGTGGCTCAGGACCGTGCTTTGTGGCATACCTTGGGGGAGGCCTATGTTCAGCAGTGGGCTTGTGAAGGACTGTAATGATGATGATTTTGTAAAGTTATTTAATAGATACTATTTATAATTATCATAATTTCGTTTTATGTCTTTCCCCACCACCATACAATTAAAAACCTTTTTTTCGTACAAGCTATGTATCCTAGTACTTTAAGGTGAAATTAGGAAAATGAAAAAAAAAACTAATTGCATTATTTTAATACTAAAGTATTCGTAAGTTACAATAAATTAATAATCATTTAATAACTTTTCCCTAAACAAATATGAAATCGGCCCGTAAAAAACATTTTTAAAACCTTATTTTACTCTCTAAGGATTTAAATTTGATCCAGCGGTTTGAGCTGTAACTTTAATTCAATATTTTTCATACAAAATTTAAACCCTTGTTTTAAAACCGTAAGAAGCAAGTTTTATTATTTAATTACTTTAAAGCATTAAATATTTTATCTCCCTTCAAATTAAACATTATCTACCCCCTTCTCCCTCCCCCAATAAGGGGTTGTTTTAAGAAATACCTTAATGTTTTATTTCCATACAAAATTGCACACCACTTAAGTTTGCGGCAGCCTAGGGAGGGTTGAAGGGTTGATGAGACGAAGACCTTTTCCTATACTTAACTTACAAGCTAACTTCACTACTGTGACAATCTGAGTACTCAGGAATACTAGACTACTTAACTTACAAACTAACTTGATTACTACTGAGCTGTCTTAACTATTATACCTTGGTTTTTATAGTATTGTATATTCCTACGTCACGTAAATTGACTTTAAATATGTCCTGGAGTTTTGCTTAGCAGACGGTAGGTGACTCCCTGATGGCACTGTGTTGAATATTCTTAACTCACGTGCTGTTATTTGCTTAGCAGGCGATGCTGTATGGTAGGTGACTTCCTGATTGCTTGCAAGATCTTGGTAGGCATATGTAACTCCTCCACCCTCAGCGCAGCGATTATTGCTGAACATTCAGCGAAAATGTCGCCGTGACCAAATACCAAATGCTGATACTCGGGCATTCTGCCTCTGTATGTAAATATGAGTTCCAATGAATGGAAATGGAAGTATAAAAGCCTGGGCACTCCTATTAGGTACTATAGCTGTGTGTAGGACACTGCTGCTCATCTGCTAAATCGCTTAGGATAATTTTCATAACATTATTATTTTCTTTCTCACTTTATGGTCAGCTAAATGAATAGTGATAATTAATTAAATAATTTTCATCACTATAGTGCAATACTTCCGGTTGCAGTGATACCAGTTTATTTTTATAAAAATTGCACACTTTTGCTGCGAAGTAGCAAGTTTCGATTTGACTTATTTGGCCTTTATTTTGTATAATATTTTGATAAATACTAGTAATCCATTATATTAAATTATATACTATTCAGTATCGTGTTGAAATCGTGCCGAATATATAAATCATTTAACAAAATCCACTACACATCTATTTGTAGTGATTATTAAATTCATCACAAACTGATTTAGTTATTAGGAAATATATTTTCGTTAATATATTTAACTTGTATAGTAAATTATATTTATTCAAAAATAGATTACTTTCAATTTATGAATTATGATGGCCACACTTGGTATTGGACGAAAATATTCACAAAGTACGAGTTTTAATGATAAAATTACTTTAATATTATGTTAAAAATACCTAGGCTGCACTAAAAGTATCGGGAATGGAATATCTCCACTGTTCCTGTCATATTAAAATCTTTTTAATTGAAAACTCCTTGGTTTTAAAAATCGCATACCATTTATTTATTTAAAAAAAGATTCTCGGTCTTGTCACAAGGTTTTGTCAAACTTGTTTAGTCGTTGAGAAAATGGAAGACTCGAGAAAATTCAAGAGCGATGATTTATTATGACTTTCGAAGTGGTTTAACACAAAAACAGTGTGTTGACCGGATGATTTCTGCATTTGGTGATGAAGCCCCATCCAAAACCACAATTTATCGCTGGTTTGCTGAATTTCAACGTAGACTTGTCAAGCTCAGTGATGATCCCCGTCAAGGTCGTCCAAAAACTGCAGTCACCCAAAAAAACGTTGATGCTGTGCGTAAGCTGATGGAGGAAGATCGACATGTGACATACCGCGAAATTCAGGCAACTTTAGACATTGGCATGAGTCAAATACAAATAATCTTGCATGAACAATTAAGAGTAAAAAAGTTGTTTTCCCGATGGATACCGCATTCGCTCTGTGAAGAGCAAAAAGCGGCTCGCGTTACTTGGTGCGTCAGAACTCTCGAAAGATTCCACGCAAGATCCTCATATGCTGTATACAACATCGTATCAGGTGACGAATCCTTGATATACTCGTACGAACCCGAAACAAAAAACCAGTCACGAGTTTGGGTGTTTGAAAATGAGTTAAAGCCAACAAAAACTGTTCGTTCACGGAGTGTTGCAAAAAAAAAATGGTGGCCTCGTTTGTCTCCAAAACCAGCCATGTTACGACTATTCCTCTTAAGGGACAAAGAACGGTTAATGCAGAATGGTATGCTAGCATTTGTTTGCCACAGGAGAACTGCAACCGACGCATCATCCTCCATCACGACAATGGGAGTTCTCACACCGCACACCGCACACAGAACAATAGAGTTTTTAGAGCAAGAAAACATAGAATTATTAGACCATCCGCCGTACAGCCCCGACCTAAGCCCTAATGATTTCTATACTTTCCCTAAAATAAAGAATAAATTGCGTGGACAGAGATTTTCATCACCTGAAGAAGTTGTGGACGCCTACAAAACGGCCATTTTGGAGGCACGATCACTTTGGAATGAAGCACGACGCAGAGCAACTAGTTTTATATAACGGGTATGAGTCGAACTCTCGTACCTTTTACAGAAGGGTATGCCTTGCGATGCCGTCTCCTTTGGTTTTATACTCAAAGTTTCCGACATACATTTCCCGTTATTCCACTTTCAACGTACGCTGGTGAAATCAAGGCTTGCTTAAAGGCGGCTAATCACATGCCTGCCGAAGGGGCAATCTAGGGTATACAGCGATAGGAGCAACGTCAGAATTGTCTCACACACGTGCGTGCCGTTCATCATGAGAGCGTACGACCCGCTGAACACATACGTGGAGAAGGGCTCCAGTTTTATCGAATTATCAAGGGAAAGGTGAAATGACAAACGATTACACAGTCCATCTGATGGTAAGTGTATACTGTGGCCCATAGACACCTACATTTATCCATAATACAACTAATTAATTTAAAATTACAATCATAATAATATAGCTGCAGCATGGTTTTACCACATTAAAAAACGTAATCACGTTCAAATAACGTTCTACCGCAAAAGTAGAGAAGAGATACTTGGTAAAGAAGCTGCTCTTTATACACTTCTATCACCTGTGTCTAAATTTCACGCTCTTTTTTGTTTTCCATTGTGACATCTACTCACAGGTGTGCTCTGCGTGAAAGTCGCCAACAAACTAATTGAAATTGTACCCCAATTGCGCTACACACGCGGCAACGGCAGCTATGATCTAGAGAGCTAGGAAGGTCTTGCGGCCCTGCCGCCCTGCCGCAGGAGCGACCTAGGATATTGTCCCTGCGTGCACACACACATCAAAATTAAGGAGACAATTAAGGGTCATCCCCACTCCTACACCCTAGATTGCCCCTACGGCGGGCATGTGAGTAGCCGCCTTAAAATAATCGCGACTGTGGGGTAAAAAAAGTACAACTGTCAGTGAACATACGCGTTCAAATGCTTCAGGATCGTAGAATACTATAATACACAATAGAAAACTGTCCACCTTATTTTGTACGACGATATCCGTCACCGGGAGCACACATACAAGCAATTACGTCATATTATCACTACTACTGACCCGATTTGCTGTGTTGACAGACAGATTTTAATACATATTGTTTTGTAAATAGCGTGCAATTTGGCATTTTCTAAATAATTTTCATGCGAAATTTGGAAACGATTGTAACGTCAAAACACATCTCGTGTTGACATTTATACGTGTGAATTGACGTGTTAGTGACATTTTAGTGGGCATAGCTACACAGGCTATGCCCACTCCCCCGTTCTATTATGTATGTATTATAGTATTCTATGTTCAGGATCCATCCACCGAAACTTTTTCAAAACAACTGTTAGATATTGGCAATGGAAAAGTTGCTGTATATGAAAATACTGGATGCATAAAACTGCCAACCGATTTCTGCACAATCATCAATTCGCAAAATACTTCCATCGACCACATATATCCCGACGTACACACACAATACAAAAATCTTGAGTGGTTGGCAAAAAGAGCGATTTTGGATTTGATTTTTGGATTGGATTTTTTTATCCAATTGATTTTTGAATTCATTGGATTGGCATATCTAAACCATTTAAAATTGAAGGTTGGATCTCTGGTTATTTTGCTTCGTAATTTGTTTGTGGCTTAGATTTGGGTACACCTAGCGTTGCTAGGCGTCCAGATAAAAGCGGACGCAGTCAGCCTTTTTGGTTGAGTGTCCGGCCAAATTAGACAGAGTCTGGCCTCTCAGACTTGTTAGGCTTTTTAAATCTGACCATTTTTATCAAATTTTTCATGTACCAGCCGTAATATTGCAATTATTGAAATAAAATATTGTAATGAACATTGAATAATAAAGAAGACTGATTTATTCAATTTTGTTATTTCATTAGAATTTAAAAAGATTTTATGGTAAATAATAAAAAAAATTGTCACGTTATATCAAGGCTAAAAAATGATAAACTAAATTTATTTTAATAATTATTTTTTATTTATAATTAAATAACATCTAATCACAGATCTTTAAGGATTCATAGAAATAATTTCACTTCCCTTTTATTATTTGGGTTTTCAGTAACTATATTTATTTTCTTTAGTATCTTTATAGCCAGGTAGTTCTCCCTTGTAAGCTGAATATAACCATCAGATGTTACATCTAGGCTCTCTTGTATTAGATGCTGAAACAGTGGTATTTAATAAAAGTAATCTATACTTATAAACAAAATTGAAGTGTATCAGTAATATTAAAATTATTGGCTTCTATAAAGCTCAGTGTTGTTTGCTTCATATTAAAACAATTTTTTTATTTAGGTGAGTTTCTATCCAAGGTGGGTTTCTAGTAGTAAATAAAATTATAGTAGTAATATATAGTGATTGCAACATTGTTCTCCTGGTATAAGCAAGACAACTGATCATGGTCTTGGGGACAAATCCTTGGTTAGGCAATAATTGATTTAATGGGTTTTCCTGTCAAAAAATTCACAGTAGCAGCCTGATGGTGGTTGTTTACCCCTGGAAAACATGTAATCTTTAGTCCTGAGCCTAATCTCCTTTCAGTTATATTGGATTGCCATCACATTAAGACTATGACAGTGAGAGAATAGAGTGCACCTGTGTTTCACACTTCACACCTCCATGAGGGGAGTAAGAGATAATACTTTTTTCCTAGTATCACTTCACTTGCACCATGCAAGGAAAATGAAACTCTCTATATCTTAAAAGATTGGTCTTTGGAAGCGGCAACATGCGAAGTCTCTGCACTCACTAACCCTCCCGTTCAATATAATATAAGAAAAATCTTGCAATAAATACAGTAATGCATTTTAAAGGTCTACCAAGGGATTAAGATATTTCAAAGTATGCATATGTCAAATGTGAATGACTTATTCATTTGACCAGGGTCGCATCCAAGTATATATTTCTTGAATGTTCCTAATGAAACAATGGACAGGACCTACAACCAAAGAGTATAGTAATGCCTATAACCAACTTAATTAAGCGGATCTCACAGATCACAGAGCACTGAAACTTAAAATGATCTATTTGTATAAACAACTTGAACGACCCAGTTTGAGAGACGAATCGATAATTGAATGATCAGGTCACTAGAAATTAATGAATGAAACTTATCTATTTCAAAGGCTTACCCCAAGAACATCCTTGATAAGGTGGGCAGAGTTTGGACACAAGGAATATATAACTCTATAAAGTTCTTTTCTTATCATACGGAATCTTGCTTTAGCCTTCAATATTGCCTGTGGATGTATATCCGGGTCGGCTTTAGTAATCTGCTGCACGATTTAAGTGATCATTTTAGCTTTAGTTGATAGGTACTGATGCTATTGATTACCATCTAGCTGCTTTTTATGCCGGAAATCCTTAGTTTTCGAGATATCGATAATTTTAGTTTTGAGGTTATGTCCATTTAAAAATGATACGAAACGAAATAACAACATAATTATTTGATCATTTTAGCTTTAGTTGACAGGCAATGACACTATTAATTATCATCTAGCTGTTTTTTATGCCGGAAATCTTTAGTTTTCGAGATATCGACAATTATAGTTTTGAGGTTATATCCATTTAAAAATGATACGAATACGAAATAAGAATATAATTATTACAAAGAGATAGCAATAGAGCATGGTCTGTACTCTGTTTTAAAAAAAATTACTGCCGGGAGACAGTCGTCATTTACCAAATAGAGCAACAAGAGGCCATCGGCAAGATTGGTGGCCCAGGAAAAGTAGCCCAAATAGACGAGTCAAAATTTGGAAAACGGAAATATAATAAAGGTAATTTGATTTTCTTATATTACAGACTGAAACAATATATTTATAATAATAATATAATGATAATTAAATTTATTTCAGACCCACATATAGTCCATAATATGTTAGTAAATTAGCTTAACCTATGTTAGTCTTAAATTATTACACATTATTTATTTTAAAGTTTACTTTTGAACCCAAATTATCTTTTAATACCTTTTATTAAATATATTTGAATACCTTTTAAAGCCAAAATATCTGGAAGAAATCAGTTTCAGAGTGATAAGACAGCCTGTTGTACATATTCTGCTATAAAATTTTGTACTTTTGTATTTGTTTTTTTTTTTTTTGTAATTTTGTACTATTGGGTTTTGGTGTACACTGTACAATATAGAGTAAATAAATAAATAAATATCTTGAATATTTACTAACTCTAAATTGTTTATTGTTGATTTTAGGAAGGCAGATTGAGGGCCACTGGATCCTCGGCCTCATTGAGGATGGAAGTGAGGATTTACGACTAGAGGTGTGCCCTGAAAACATCAGGTTAGCGGACATACTAGTGCCCCTAATTAAAAAACATGTGGTTGAGGGCACCACAATCCATACCGACTTCTGGAGGGCTTATGATTGTTTGGGGCAACATGGGTACATTAAGAAGAAGCGCACTCAAGTGATGACGTGCGGAGAACCAACATTTATTAACCAGCTTGGTCGACTGGCTACCCTCGAGGCTGCTGACGCCAACATGGGTACATTCACAAGAAGGTGAACCATTCAGATCCTGAGAACCCATTTGTTGCCCCTGATGGCACTCATACTCAAAGAATCGAATCGCAATGGCGGGTGGTTAAAAGATTTTTCAGTAAATACAATTATAACCACCTGGAAAACTTTTCAGACATTATTATAGAATATTTGTGGAGAAGGTCAGTGCAAAGAAAAAAAAAAGGATCCTTTTATGGAACTAATTAAAGTAATTAACCATGTATATAAATAAATGTTTTTATAATATTATATTTGGTCATTTCTTTTGATCAAACTCTAGTACCAGAAGGTATAAATCACAAAACCGAATCTGTCAACCCCAACTTCCACGTGGTCTTTCCGCTCTTACCCCTAGAGTGTATATGAAAATCCGGAAGCGCGGAGGGAATGCAGCCCCCCGCCCGCTGTAACTAAGCGTAGGCAGCGTACGAGCCGTAGCGGCTGAGGCTGGTCGCCGAAGGCGACCAAACAGCCGAAGCTGCGCAGGTGAGCTAGGTGCCTGTGCTTAGTTACGCAAGGGCGAAAGGGCTGCACTTCCCGCAGAGCTGGAGCAGAAGCAGAGTCAAAATAGTGTTAATTCCCACCGTTTTTCCCACCCTAAATACTCCCACATTCCCACCGGGACCCGAATGTGAGTTTTTCGTCGCCGGACGCCCTTTTTTTATTAAACGAAAGCGAATTTTCCTTAAATGTAACAAAACTTTAAAAATTCATAAAAAAAAAGGGGGGGTTTCCGGCACTTTTTCCTTTCAGGGGGAGAGGTTCCGCCCCCCCCCCCCCACTCCCCCACCCACTCGGCGACCATATATTCATGCAGCAGATTACTAAAGAAAACCCGTATATCCTTCTTTTTTGCTCTAGCTGTTGACCTGAATTCTTTTGCTGTATTGATTAAGTTATTTAACCTAAAAATATAAATGTTGATTATGTATCATTATTCATAATTGACTCATACATTTAAAGGAATTTATTATTGTGACTACATTTTTTTTATAATACTTTAACAGCAATAAAAAAAATCTTGTTGCACTTTTCTAAGATTAAAATGACAGTTGTTACAATCCATACCGACTTCTGGAGGGCTTATGATTGTTTGGGGCAACATGGGTACATTAAGAAGAAGCGCACTCAAGTGATGACGTGCGGAGAACCAACATTTATTAAGCAGCTTGGTCGACTGGCTACCCTCGAGGCTGCTGACGCCAACATGGGTACATTCACAAGAAGGTGAACCATTCAGATCCTGAGAACCCATTTGTTGCCCCTGATGGCACTCATACTCAAAGAATCGAATCGCAATGGCGGGTGGTTAAAAGATTTTTCAGTAAATACAATTATAACCACCTGGAAAACTTTTCAGACATTATTATAGAATATTTGTGGAGAAGGTCAGTGCAAAGAAAAAAAAAAGGATCCTTTTATGGAACTAATTAAAGTAATTAACCATGTATATAAATAAATGTTTTTATAATATTATATTTGGTCATTTCTTTTGATCAAACTCTAGTACCAGAAGGTATAAATCACAAAACCGAATCTGTCAACCCCAACTTCCACGTGGTCTTTCCGCTCTTACCCCTAGAGTGTATATGAAAATCCGGAAGCGCGGAGGGAATGCAGCCCCCGCCCGCTGTAACTAAGCGTAGGCAGCGTACGAGCCGTAGCGGCTGAGGCTGGTCGCCGAAGGCGACCAAACAGCCGAAGCTGCGCAGGTGAGCTAGGTGCCTGTGCTTAGTTACGCAAGGGCGAAAGGGCTGCACTTCCCGCAGAGCTGGAGCAGAAGCAGAGTCAAAATAGTGTTAATTCCCACCGTTTTTCCCACCCTAAATACTCCCACATTCCCACCGGGACCCGAATGTGAGTTTTTTCGTCGCCGGACGCCCTTTTTTTATTAAACGAAAGCGAATTTTCCTTAAATGTAACAAAACTTTAAAAATTCATAAAAAAAGGGGGGGTTTCCGGCACTTTTTTCCTTTCAGGGAGAGGTTCCGCCCCCTCCCCCCCCACTCCCCCACCCACTCGGCGACCATATATTCATGCAGCAGATTACTAAAGAAAACCCGTATATCCTTCTTTTTTGCTCTAGCTGTTGACCTGAATTCTTTTGCTGTATTGATTAAGTTATTTAACCTAAAAATATAAATGTTGATTATGTATCATTATTCATAATTGACTCATACATTTAAAGGAATTTATTATTGTGACTACATTTTTTTTATAATACTTTAACAGCAATAAAAAAAATCTTGTTGCACTTTTCTAAGATTAAAATGACAGTTGTTATATATAAATATGCAAGCAAATTCTTTCAAGGCAATCGATTTTTATAATATGGTTTTGAATTGCATGAATCAGGAATGATAATAAAAATAAAACAATAAGTACATATCTATTTCAATATCCATGTCAGAAATTGATCTCTTGGTAGAATCTATGAGTATTTCAACTTCTTTATTTTGCTCGTCCATTTTAGAGAGGAATTGGTTTGTTAGTAAATTACTGCACGTATTAAGAGCCGTGTTCGATTTGCATAGTTCTGGTCGTAAAGCCTCTACATAATTTAAAGTTTTAGCTTCAATGTTGTTTGGAATAAGAACCTCATCTGGGAAATACTCAATAAGATTATAAACGTGTTTACATGTTTCTTGCAACAATTTCAACTCTTTTGTCAACGCTTCTTTCGTTTCATTATTCATCGTAAACTTTTGACAAAATCTTTAAGAGATAATAACAAAATTTAAACACAAAAACAGAAATATTATGTAAACAACTTCGCATAGATTTTTCCCGCTTTTTCCATACTCTATGGTGAATTCCGATATTTTGAATTTAGATTTAGGTACTTTACTTTCGACTTTAGTCTTTGGATATGCTACTTTTGTTGTTATTACGATGCAGCATAAGTTCAGCAAAGGTCATAGACCGTAAAGCCTAAGCTGATTTGTATTATGTTTGCTAAGTTTGGTTTAAAAATAATATAGTATACCGTATAAAAAGTACTCTGGTTCGAAGCTAAAGATTATCATAGACTTACTATAATATTACTATAATATTATAATATTAAATAAATCACTACGTATATTTTATGATTGTTGGGTAGTGCTAATATTTAAGGATTGCGTACACTGACCTCTATACATATATACAAGTACGCTGGACTGACTATACCATACAAAATGAAGCGCCGCTAAAGGATGTCTTGAATAATAAAATTGACATAATATGCCAAAGTGTGTTGTCTTATTTATATTGTCTTATTTCATAAGTCTGTATTTTGAACTTTTAAACTAAAACACTAAAGTATTTTGTTGTTTGAGTGTGTATAATATTAGTTACAAAATAAGAATTATTTTTATTAATAATGAGAGTGTGCGTAATCTGTAAAACTCGTTACAAAAAAGGAAGTGGTATAACATTTCACAAGTAAGTGAATTTGGAGCTAATATTAAACAAATTAAAACTATTTGATAATATAATTGCCGTGTAGTGGCGGTTAAGAATATCCATTACCCCATATCTTCCCGTGGGTGTCGTAAGAGGCGACAGAGGGAGACAGGCAGGAGGTGGGCAGCAGCGTCTTCCTGATGACAACTGTGACGTAATAAAAAACTGCGGTTGCCAACCCGCTCGCCAAGCGTGGCAACTATGGCAAATAACCCCCCAATGAATAAATACACAAACAGACGGCCCCCAGTCCCCGGCGGCCCCGCTATTCCTGGCTACGGTGGCGACCATGGTAACGGCGGGGCAGGGGGTGCTAAGAATCTCCGGTGGAGGTTCGGTTGCCACCTACGACGACTCGACCTGGCAACATATAACGCACGCACCCTGAGGACTGACGAGAAGATACTGGAGCTGGAAGAAGAGGTAGACAAGTTGCGCTGGCATATTATTGGATTATCCGAGGTCCGAAGAGAGGGGGAGGACACGGCAATCCTCGAGTCCGGCAACTTGTTCTATCACCGGGAGGGCGACCATCTGTCCCAAGGAGGTGTCGGATTTATCGTCCACAAATCTCTCGTCAACAACGTTGTAAAGATTGGGAGTGTGTCGACGAGGGTCGCGTACCTGATACTCAGAATCACCAAACGGTATTCGCTGAAGGTCATTCAGGTTTACGCACCAACCTCGGCACATCCCGATGAGGAGGTGGAGGAAATGTATGAGGATATTTCCAGAGCCATACATTCCTCCAAAACCTACTACACGGTGTTGATGGGAGACTTCAACGCAAAACTGGGCACAAGAGAAAGCGGTGAGCTGAAGGTAGGGAAATTTGGAGTAGGGCAACGGAACCGAAGGGGCCAGCAGCTGGCCGACTTTATGGAGAAAGAGGGACTCTTTATGATGAACTCTTTCTTCCAGAAGCGGCCCCACAGGAAGTGGACCTGGTCGAGCCCCGACGGTTCGACAAAAAATGAGATTGACTTCATTATGACGACCAGACGCAAACTGTTCAGTGATGTCTCAGTGATCGCAAGGGTGAAAACTGGCAGCGATCACCGAATGGTTAGAGGCACACTGAACCTAAACGTTAAGTTGGAGAGGTCTCGTCTAATGAAGTCAACGCTCCGTCCCCCTCGTGCTCTAATCCAGAATCCCGAAACCTTTCAGCTCGAGTTACGTAACCGCTTCCAGTGCCTAGAAGATTGCAATGCAGTGGACGATATGAACGACAAGCTCGTGGAAACTGTCCATGCGGTCGGAGCTAAGTTCTGCAAGACCCGCCGCAGAAGAACACAAAAACTCTCCGATCACACTCTTAATCTCATGGCTGTTAGACGGGAGATGAGGCTGCAATCGTCAACAGATTTGACAGCATACAGGCAACTGAACAGACAGATCTCCAAATGCATACGGCGAGACTTACGCAACTTTAATACTTCTCGTATTAAAGAAGCGATCGAGCAGAACCAGGGCTCCAAAGTCTTTGCCAGAGATCTGTCTGCCAGAAAGAACCAACTGTCAAGGCTGAAGACTGAGTGTGGCAACATCGTTTCCGGGACACCTGAGATTTTGAGTGAGATTGAGAGGTTCTATGGGCAGCTGTACACATCATCGTTGGAGCCACACGCAAGTGTGAGTAACGATCCAAGAGCAAGTCTTATCCGACACTATTCCGATGATATCCCGGACGTCAGTCTAAGCGAGATTAGAATGGCTCTCCAGCACCTTAAAAACGGCAGGGCCCCAGGCGAGGATGGAATTACAGCGGAGCTTCTGAAAGCGGGTGGAACACCGGTACTTAAAGTCCTTCAGAAGCTCTTCAATTCCGTCCTCCATGGTGGCACTACTCCAGAGGCGTGGAGCAGAAGTGCGGTGGTCTTGTTCTTTAAGAAAGGCGACAACGCTCTCTTAAAGAACTACAGACCGATTTCCCTTCTGAGCCGCGTCTACGTGCTGTTTTCGAGAGTCATTACGAATCGTCTCGCACGCAGACTTGACGACTTCCAGCCTCCCGAACAAGCCGGTTTCCGAAAAGGCTTCAGTACCATAGACCACATACATACCCTGCGGCAGATTGTGCAGAAGACTGAAGAGTACAATCTGCCACTTTGCCTGGCGTATGTGGACTATGAGAAATCCTTTGATTCCGTCGAAATTTGGGCGGTGCTACAGTCCCTTCAGCGGTGCCAAGTTGACTGTCGGTATATCGAAGTGCTGAAGTGTTTGTACAGTAGGGCTACGATGGCTATCCGAGTACAGAACCAGAGCTCGAAACCTATCCAACTGCAGAGAGGTGTAAGACAGGGTGACGTTATATCCCCGAAACTCTTCACCGCTGCATTGGAAGACGTTTTCAAGCTACTGGACTGGAAAGGATACGGTATTGACATCAATGGCGAGTACATCACTCACCTTCGATTTGCCGACGATATAGTCCTTATGGCAGAATCGCTGGAGGACTTAAGCACTATGCTCAATGACCTCAATAGTGCCTCCCAACGGATAGGTCTTAAGATGAACATGGACAAAACAAAGATCATGTTCAATGTCCATGTCACACCTATGCCGGTAGTTGTTGGGAGCACTATGCTCGAAGTTGTTGACGAATACGTTTACCTGGGACAAATAGTCCGACTAGGTAAGTCCAACTTCGACCGAGAGGTCAATCGACGGATTCAACTCGGCTGGGCAGCGTTCGGGAAATTACGGCATATCTTTTCGTCAGGTATACCTCAATCTCTAAAAACTAGATTGTACAACCAGTGCGTGTTGCCAGTGATGACTTACGGATCTGAGACGTGGTCCTTCACTGCTGGCCGTATGAGGACGCTTAAGGTCGCTCAGCGAGCTATGGAGAGGGCTATGCTCGGAGTTTCTCTGCGTGATAGACTCAGAAATGAGGATATCCGCAGTAAAACCAGAGTGACCGACATAGCCCAACGGATTAGTAAGCTGAAGTGGCAATGGGCCGGCCATATAGCTCGAAGAACCGATAACCGATGGGGAAGAAAGGTTCTCGAGTGGCAGCCTCGTACCGGTAGGCGTAGTGTAGGGCGACCCCCCACTAGATGGAGTGACGACCTGGTAAGACATGCAGGAAGTCGATGGATGCAGGTGGCTCAGGACCGTGCTTTGTGGCATTACTTGGGGGAGGCCTATGTTCAGCAGTGGACTTGTGAAGGGCTGTAATGATGAATGATGATGATAATATAAGTACTTAAAAATTTGTTACTAATCTTAATATCATATATACCAACATGTTTGGGTGTATATTACTGAGTTTTGATAAACAGTAAAATTCAATAGGGTTGTCGAGTTCCTTGTCTATAAAACTTATCGATATTTTTCCTACACAAATGGGTTAACAAAAAAAGTCGCCAACAACGGATGATTATCAAATGTTTATTAATTAACAGGTTTCCAACTGAGGCTAGAATAAAATTATGGCTTAAAAGCATAAATATTGTGAATTGGCGTCCGAAACAAAATGATCATATTTGTTCCAAACATTTTACAGACGACTGTTTTATTAGACATGAGAACTGCACCACTTTGAAAAGGTTCAGTATACCGACAATATTTTCTGGTACCAGTAACCAGTAAGTATAAAAGTATTAGATTATTATTTCGAATGTTTTTTTTTTATTTCTTCTTTCCTCGTTTTCCACCAAACTCAAGGGCCATAGCCAAGTGTCGAAAGATCGCCTGATGATGTCTAGCCACGTTGGATGTGTGTTAGTGGGCTGTGGCTAGAGGAGAGAAAGAGGATCCCTGGACCGCTGTAGTCGAGGTAGTGGAGTCGTAAGGGAAGAGGAGTGTTGGTATGGCGATTTGCGATGCGCCACTCGACTATTTTTCGTGACTTTGGTGAGGCTGCACCACTTGATGTTTCCAAGTGCTCGTTTTTTCCTGGCTCCATTCACATATCGGGCTCGGGGAATCCGTAGTGCAGCTCGTATCTCTATAAATGTTTCCTCGGTTTAAGATCTTTGTAGAATATTTAGAGACGATACCAGGAGACCCGACGGTATGGGATTGGTTGCTTGAGAGGTGACATTTTAGTGGGCGTAGCTACACAGGCTATGCCCACTCCTTCGTTCTATTATGTACGTATTATAGTATTCTATGTTCAGGATCCATCCACCGAAACTTTTTCAAAACAACTGTTAGATATTGGCAATGGGAAAGTTGCTGTATATGAAAATACTGGATGCATAAAACTGCCAACCGATTTCTGTACAATCATCAA